CTCCAACCATAGTTCCAAATGGGTTGAGGGATTGTCCTAATATCTCTCCTGTGACCTGGTGTTATATATTGCCTATAAAAAAGTTAACAAATTAAAAAAAAAAAACTCAAGATAAGAAATTATTGAAATCCAACATACCATGAACTTCTGAGCTCGAATATCCATAAGTTGTTTGTTGAAACATTCTAAGTTGTACGCAAGTCCTCGACTATAGTGTTTGAGATATTTTTAACTTGATTTTTATCGGGTCTACCAAACAATCTTGCCTCCAACCATAGTTCCAAATGGGTTGAGGGATTGTCCTAATATCTCTCCTGTGACCTGGTGTTATATATTGCCTATAAAAAAGTTAACAAATTAAAAAAAAAAACTCAAGATAAGAAATTATTGAAATCCAACATACCATGAACTTCTGAGCTCGAATATCCATAAGTTGTTGCACCTTTTTTTTTTTTATGGTCATCATTCTACATGTGCTTCACATATTCATATAAAACAACATTTAGATAAAAACATTTGATGTAATAAAAAATGGTTTTACCATCTGCTTTGCATGTAAAAAAATAGAACGAATCTGCTGGTGTGCGAGATAATGAAATTGGGAATCTCCTTGCTATGGTTCTCTATATCAGATTGTGACCATTGCACGAAACACTCAGACATTATGTGTTAAATATATTTTGCTTATACAACCTTTGATACATACGAAGATCTAAAATCTTTTTAAACTGACACATCTTTTCAGCCTAGAAGATCTCTTTCTTTAGCATATTGTTTTGGTGCCGACCATGAACAAGCACCCGAGTCATAGGCAACCACTTTTGGCATGGGCTCATCGAGAGTGATGCCGCCATGCTGAGGGGGGTCACTTTAAAATGGAATCCATTTACTAGGAAGTACCTTTTCTAGTGGAAGCCCGACCACTCAATATAAGTTTGTTTTCCTTTCATGCACTACTAAAAAATAAAACACAATTAATAATTTTTGAAAAAATAATTTCAATTAACGAATGCAATTTCAGGTTTATAAATATTGAGACTGCTTGAAAGATAACATCATCGATGAAATCGTCAATGAAAGTGGTATTGCTTTAATGGAGTCAGGTTTTTAAAAATTCTAAATGAAACCCATGATTGAGTCGACCCGATTGGGTTAACCCAACTGAGTTAACCCAAGTGGGTCAATTTCTTCTAGGTTGACCCAAGCGAGTCAATCTATCCAAATTGATCTAGCCGGGTTAAAAATGTTTTTGTCTCTAGGCTGTGTGGATTTTTTTTAGGTTTGAAAATATGTTTGGTAAGACCTCTTTAAATTTGTTGAGTCTTTTTTATTATTTCAAGAAGTCTACAAAATATACAAAAAAATCATAGCATCTAGTATTTTCATATGAAAAATCAAAATACATGTTTGCATGTATTTTGAGATTTAATAGCCAATTTATTAAATTCATGAGAATTTGGTCATATTTCAATAACCAATATTTTCATTCATGAGAATTAATAGTTAATATTATGGTATAGAATGCTAGGCCTATAAGTGTAGCTGGTATTTGAATGTCAGAAGTTGATCAGAAAAATTCTTAAAGTTATTCTAAATAATCATCAATTTTAATTCTAAAAATTCTCATAATTATTTTAAATATTTAAAAGAGAGAGAGTAGTATACTACCTAAGTATATGTCTTACTAAAATTAATGATAGTCTTACTGGTGAATTAATTTTATTGATATATTTTAAAGAATTAAAAAAAATTATTAAAAATATCATTGCTATTGTTTAATAATTGACAAAATCCAACCATTGATAATATTAAAAAATTTATTAAAAAAATTACAAATAATTTTTTTTGTTGGCGAAACGTCAATTCATATATAAAAATTTCGACAGAATAAAATAGATAAATATTTTTTTTGTTTGGTGCACCTTTTTTGTCTGCAAATTAATCGAGGATTACGTTATCGATGAGACGACTGAAAAAACAAGAATTATAAAGGAAAGTTGTTTCGACCAATAGTAACTGTCTATGAGATTGTTGATAAATTAGTCATGCCGATGGAATCATTGTCTACCTACCTATGGAATATCCCATTGGTAAAATGTAAAATTTTGGTAGTGAAATGAGCTATTAATAACATGTATATATATAGTCTTTATGTGCAAGCAAGGAATTAGCATCACTCTTTTTCTTTCTTTATATATATAGGCTTTATGTGCAAGTAAGGAATTAGCATCACTCTTTTTCTTTCTTCTTTTTTCTAATCTTGCCTATGATACGCAAGGGGAAAGGAAGGAATAACTGTAAGTTAACCACTTAAAACATAATATAACTTTTTAAAGGGTTTATATATAAAATATAATTAAAAAAAAACTTGTAAATCCACCTATCCCGGCAGCAAACACAAAAAATATATAAATGATTACAACCCAAAACACTGGGAATTTTTTTCCAAAATATATATGAACAGCTCCTTGTTGCCACCCAAAGCAATCCCATTACTCTATCCTTTTGCCAGTGTGTCCCAACTTGTAATTAGCTCTTTTCCTCTTATTTTTGCTAGAAATTAGGAGAATTCAAAGGGAAATGTAACAAGAATTGCACCACATTCTTCTATATATTCAGGAAAAAGCAGGGTAGTATTGTGACCATCTTGTTTTGTTCTAAGTGAAATATGGAAAGCGAAAGATTCAGTAATTTTTCTTTCTTTTTGGTGTTATTTGCAAGCCTTCTTGTTGCAACAAGCTGCCGTGGTCACTCTCGTAATGCTTTATTTATTTTTGGTGGTTCATGGAATGATGTTGGAAATAACAACTATATGGAAACTGCAATCAAAGCAAACTTTTTGCCATACGGGAAAACCTTCTTTAAGAACGCAACAGGAAGGGCTTCTAACGGTCGATTAGTCCCAGATTTTATTGGTAAAAAAGAAATAAAATCTTTGGCAACATTTTTCTTTGTTTTGATTATTATTTTATGAAATGAATTATTAGAATATGATTCTTCCAAAAAATTTTGTAGCCGGGTTTGCCAAGTTACCATTAATTCCACCATATCTAAGTCCTGATAACAATGAGTTCACAAATGGATTGAACTTTGCATCAGTCGGAGCTGGTGCTTTGACTGAAACTAATGTAGGAAAGGTATGTGATTTTTTTGTCTATGCTTTTCTTTTCTTTGTGAGACGGCTTAGGCTTGTCTCTACTATTATTGATTATTATTAGTCATAAGCTTGCATGATATTGTTAAGTTGAATTTCTTCTTAACACGATTATTTTTACTTCCCTTTTGAAGACTATAAGCCTTAAAACTCAGCTAAGTTTTTTCAAGTTCACGAAGAATCACTTAAACGTCAAACTTGGTGAAGCAAAAACGAAGACGTTGTTGTCTAGAGCTCTTTATATGTTTAACATAGGAAGCAATGATTACATAACATTTGCCACCCACAAGACCACCGAGCACCCGTCCTACACAAGGGAAGAGTATGTCAAGACGGTTATCGGCAACCTGACAGATGCGGTCCAGGTAATTAACATGTCATGGTAACATAATGCAGGCACCTCCTTTATTTTTTATTTATAATTTATTTATTTTTTGAAAGGATTGTTAAGGAATAATATAAAATTATTCTGGGAACTTCACTCAACTGCTCAAGTCATTCTGTTTTTCTTCAAATTTGACTATAGATATAGACAATGCTTGTACTTTGGTGTATCAGGAAATTCATAACATGGGAGGAAGGAAATTTGGATTTTCGAATTTGGGTGATGTGGGTTGTTCTCCGTTCCTTAGAGCACTTAATAATGCCAAAAACAACGGATCAGGATGCATGGATGAAGTTACGGTGCTTGCAGAACTCCATAATAAAGCACTAGCTAAAGCCCTCAGAAAACTTGAGAGAAAGCTCGAAGGATTCAAGTATTCCAATTTTAATCTCTTTGTTGCTTCAAAGGAAAGAGTTGACAACCCCTCGAAATACGGTACGCCTATCTACTAGTGCCTTAAATACGTACTTATAAAACCCAGCCCAACAAAACAATTTGGTTACTTGTTGATGGCTCGAGCCAGGTTTTATTTTGAACTAGGTTTTTTTTTTGTAATTATTAAAATGATAACCTGGATTGACCCACTGATCTGAATCAACCTTTACAATTTGAATCTTGGGCCGGGTAGTTTTTCATAAAGCTTTCCTACATCTTTTTTGAAAAGAAGATATATAAATATTTCCAAGCCTTCTCTAGCTACTTCAGCCTGCACAGTTTCCTTTGTCTATTCTAATTTCTAACATGTAATTTAAATTTTGTGAAGGTTTCAAGGAGGGTAAGGTGGCATGTTGTGGTACGGGTCCATACAAAGGAAACCTTACTGGTTGCTGCCCTAAAACAGTATGTGATAATGTCAACGACTACTTGTTTTTCGATGGGGTTCATCCAACAGAAAAGGCCAACTACCAATTTGCAAAGCTAATGTGGAGTGGAAGAGCCGATATAGTGAAGCCTTACAATCTTAAAACACTACTAAAGAAAATATAGATGAAGTTGTTCTTAACCAAATGTAATATTAGTTTTCCAAAAATTAAGGAGCATGATCGATTTCTGGTTATTGTCCGGTAATAAAGCTTTCAAGTTTTGGGGATGTATGGCTTGTGAATTTCTTTGTCCACTTGATTATTAAGATCAACTTGGATTTATTTTTCATTGTAGTTTCGAATTTTCATGCCAATGGCCAAAATATATATCATGCAAAATTGAATTTGCAACCTAGTAATGAGAGGAAATAAGGAATTTTATTGATAAGTATGTATCAGAAATTCAAGTAAAGAATTAGTTATGTTCAATATAATATGTTTAATATAATCACTATATAAAAACTCTAATTTAAATCTTTATAATTGAATATTTTCTTTTCAAATAATATGTTGAAATACAAACAAAAAAATATATTTATACTAGTTTTATATATTAAAATTCATAAGAATAAAATAAAATCATATGCGATACCATGTGCATGGCATCTTTATTCGAAGAAAAGCTTAATTGCAATCTAAACAATTAAGTACAATCATTACTTCCAAATTTATTAGCATCTAACTAATTTTCTAGAAACAAAGAACCAAATTGCCAAATTATTTTAAAGTGGTAGATTTAATTTCCACCCGGTGACCTGGCCTCACGAAGATGCTTCTCCCTTGAGAGTAATTTAGCCAACCTACACAAATCCAACAAAATCCAAAATATCGAAGTAAATAAACAAATTAATAATAGGAAGATGAGAATTAGAGATGCTTTTAACTATTAATATATATAAACAATTACGGTCAGGAGATATATTTACTTTATGAGAGCCTCTTCATTTGTCATCTTATTAATTGGTTCGAAGACTCCAGTGCCTAAATTAACTCTTGACACTGATTTCTTCAACAATTCTTCACCCACTTTCACAAGATTCTGCAAATTCTCTTTGGTGGCAACATCCACAGATGAGTGTTCCAGTCAATGCATTATCCTGTATATATTAATGTTAGATAATATATTTTTTTATGGTTATTTGGGAAAATTTTGTGGAAGGAGAGGAGGGAAGGTGAAGAAGCGTGAGTAAAAAAATTAAACAATCAATTAAATCAAGAAAATAAAAAAAATAACCGAAAAAACCAAATCTTAAAAAAAAATGATTACACCAATTCAAATTAAAAAAAAACGAACAGTTTAGTTTTGGTTTTATAAGTTTGTAAACGAAAAAACCAAACTGAACCAAACCAAATCCAAAACAAAAACACTAAACCAAACTGGAAAAAAAAAACTAAACAAGAGAAAAATCATGTCAAACTAGTTTGAACCGGTTTTTGTTCTAAAATAACCAAAACAAATTGAACTGAAATCAGTTTGTTTGAATTGATTCTAGTTCTTTTTTAAAAAAAAATTGGTTTGATTATTTTTTTAATAAAAACCTAACTGAACTAAAAAAACCGAGTCAAACTAGTTTAAACCGTTTTTTGTTCTAAAATAGCTTAACCAAACTTAACCGAAACCAGTCGGTTTGAACCGATTCCCACTCAGTTTCATTTTTTTATAAAAAAAATCAATTTTATTATTTTTTTATAAAAATCAAATTGAACTGAATATAACCACTTCTAGGAAAAAAAAGGAATAAAGGAAATCGAAGGTAAAAATACATTTATTTTTTGAATATCAAAGTGATTGAAAGATGATATATATTAAATATTGATTATAGGTTAAATGGTGACAAATAAGATTGGAAAGGTTTATTTATTAAAAAATGAAGTTGAGTTTTTTTTTTTAATTTTGTATTAAGTTAATATAAAAACAAATAAATAAAGTCATTTCCTTCCCCATTTATCACCTCTCAATTTAGGACTGAAAATAATATATATTTATGTTATTAACCCCCTTGCCCTCCCTCCATTCACCTCTTTCCTAAACAAACTGTTAGTGTAATTAGGTTGTATAGAAAACCAAGATGGGCATGAGATGCACCTGAATTCGAAGATAATTTTCTTCCGATTTAAGGGCTTGAAAATCAGTGCAAAGGTGAAGTCATTAATTCGAAGATAATGTCTTTCGATTTTCAGCTGACGCAAATGGAGATCCATTGCCAAAGAAAACTTAAATTAGTAATTGACAATTTGAATCAAATGAAGATATATTGAGCTCTTAAGTTGTATCTCGACAGTTCGAAGGAGAAAAACAAGTTTAATGCAACGATTCATTGCCGGGATTATTGCCCGTCTAGAGGAAATATTTTAGAGCTGTTCTCAAGTTAGAAGTCATTAATGTCTTTGGCAGCAAAGAAAGGGCGGTTTTGCTTGTTTGGAGCAGCTAGCATAGCAGTCACGAGTCCACCAGTGCTTGTCCCTGAAATCACATCAAAGTAGTCTGCAACTCTTGCATCTGCGCCATCCAGCTTCTAAAAATAGCAAAACAACTGCTTAGTGATATTTTTATACACACATCGATACGCCAAAACTAGTAAGTATTTAATTTAGTTCATGCATTAAACTTAATTTCTTATTCTGTTGTATGACTTATACATGTGATCATGAGCCCGGTTTCTTATGATCTACGTGCCTGAAGCTCAGACTCCAAAAAGAAAAGGATGGTTCCCGGAATAATGCCTCTTATTCCACCTCCATCAATGCTAAGAATAGTGATTTGGCTTCCATAAGTTGGAGGTTGAATGAGTGATCTTGGAGCTTCCATATGAGCAATATTAAGAAGAAAGTCTTCAAAGTACGTGGTGTGATGTGATAGCAAATGACTTAAAACCTGGCTTGAATTTGAGTTAGAGCGTATAATTTTTGTAATAATTTAAGATAGTCAAGATTTTACTTGCTTGTCTAAACTCATAAAATATACTTTCCAACCATGCAATTTTCTCAAATTTAAAAATAAAAAATATTAGAAAAGAAATGCTGAAAATATAATAAGAAAATTAAGAGACCTAGAAATGGAAGAGTTATTAGAGAAGTAATTTAGCTTAAACTTTCTAAGAGTTTGGGGGGCCGATAAGCTAGTACTGAAGTCTAATTAAGTGTGAAACTTGCAGTCTCCAAAGAGGATGTGGAGGTATTTATAGACTTCAAGTCCTTATGAAATTCGGGATTTCATACGTAGTCCAAAAATTCTACAAACCCAATTTGATGTTTTTAGATGCAAGTAATCAATCAGAAAGAATCAAGTCTGGTTAATATCAAATCATGAATTAAGGCCGAAGGCAGCCACGAATTCAAAATAGGCTTCATAAAGTTTTGCTACATGGAAGTTTCTCCATAGCCAAGGATAATAGGCTTGTGATAAAAGCATCTTTGAAGAAAAGCAAGAAAAACATAAATTTTGGTAACCAGCTGTAATTGTTAAGATATATGTAGCAGTGTACTTTACTCTTTGTTTATTAGGAGGACTACAAGATCTTGAAATCCTAATCTATTAAATGAAATTATTCGTTACTTGACTTCTATACGATGCCTAATTGTGTGATATAATAGTGTACTATAGTTATCATTTGTTGGTAAAATAAGAATTTATAAATGATTAAGAAAGAGAACAATAAATTCAATTTTTTCCAAAAATAGAATAAGAAAATGAACTTTTTGTTCAAATATAATATTTCTTTATTTAAAAAAAAAACTAGCAAACTAGTTTTCAATTTTTAAGTTAATAAGTATAACTTTTTCATAATAATCTTTTATTTGAATGATATAAAGTTAATATTTTATAATTTCTACATAAAAAATATGAAGATGGTTATTGAAAATTAATGTTTTAATTTTTTTTATAAAAAATAATTATAATACTGTTTTTTTTTTTTGTAGAAATTCTTTTATGTTTTTGACTAATAAATATGTTTTGTAGAAATTTTTTTATGTTTTTGACTAATAAATATGTTTTCTGATTTATTATTCAAAAGAAAAAAAAATAGAAAAGAAGAAGAAAACTAGAAATAACAATATATATATATATATATATATTATTTTTAAATATTTTAAAGTTGTACATAATAATTGTGGATTTGTTCCATACGAAGTTCTTTGCATTAAAAAAATTAATTTGCATGGTTGAAACACTCGATAATTAATGTCAAAATATCGTTCCCTCTAGCTTAGGACATCAAAGCCGTCACTAGATCAAATCAAACACTTCTTAGATGGCAATGATCTACGCAAAACACTTCCAAGCAGCATAATTGCAATGTATACCTCTTTTTTCAGTCAGCATTTTACCTTTTGTCAAATATTTTTGCAGCATAGTACAGTTTTTCCTACGTGTTGTCCACATCTTGTGTTTCTTGTAATTAAGTTCATGCCTGTTCTAAGTTAGACCAGCTGTTCTTGATGATAATGTTAACTCATCATAGAACAGAGACTTAATTAAATAAGTTAGAGTAGAGACTTCTGCAAGGAATAGCATTTGCTAAGAACATTCAAGACTTTTTAATTTGGAAATCAAGCAGGAAAGTATTTGATTTCAATGTCTTTATTAGTTTATATCATCAGGCAAAACTTAATTATTGTGCACAATCATTGACCAATCCGTCTTCTTAATTAATTAATTAGTTCAATTCCTTTTATGTTAAATTCGAGTTCCATTTGAAAGATTCAAATCCTATGATAACTAGACCGATCTTTCTCGTCAGATTTAGATGTGGGATTGGTGTTAAAATGCGTCCCTCTCCTCTGGTCTTTATATTTTGCAGCCTTAATTGGGAAAACTCCATTAATGTCATCCTTCTTCATTAGAATCAAAATTCTCTGAGGCATTACATTATTCATTCCAGACACCTGTAATTGATTAAACTAGTAACAGACTCAAGTGCTTAAACCTAATTAGTTGATGAGAAAATTACGAAGAAGATTGCATTAAAAATTGTAGTTAACAAAATTATATTGTGCTCAACAGTACTTTTACTTTGGACCAATAAAAAATGTTCAAGATAATGGACAATGGTAATTCATTAATGAAGAAAAATAATAGACTATATTGCGCTAAGATCATGACAGTCCTGATCAAGAACAAGCAAAGATTTTGTTCCAATTCCCATTCTCGTGGAGCTTTTAGTGGCTTGAAAAGTTTCTGCTCGTTCTTTTTCTGGTTTTTTAATCTTCAATTTCTTCCTTTTTATGGATGTATAACTTTATGTTTAACAAAAGCAAGGATATCCTTATGATACATATAATACGAAGATTTTTCCACCTGATTTTTTGTTCTCTTTGTTTTTTCCATTTTGGAAAATCATGTGCTTACATATATACCAATATATATTGTACGTATAGTAGTTACTTTTTCATTTTACTTATAGGTGAAATTATTTGTTTACTCTTAAGATTTTTCATAATCTTCCCTTTTGTTTGACATGCTATTTAAAAATAAATTAATAACTATGATTATAAATGTTATTGAGTACAAATAAATTTTGAAATAAGTAAAATAATTATCATAGATTTTAAACTCAGAATAATTCATGGATCAATTTGAAACCCAATAGACATGAACCATGAATCAGTCATAGAAAAATAAATTAACTTGGTTAAAAACTTAAATTAACTAGCAACTCGTTTAATTTAGTCAAAACTATATCAGAAAAAACTTAATCTTTTTTTTTTTAAATATTAAAACGGGTTAATCCTCTCCCCTTAAAATCTAAGACTTCCTCAGAATCAACAGTATAATTGGTTTTGCAGCAACACGTGGCTCAGCTCATTAAAAAATACAACCACCTATTGACAGAGTATACACAACTCAAAACGAATTAGTCAAATGGTCATGAACATGGTATCACAGAGTGGTGATACATGTGCGCCTCTTTCTTTTTTTTTTGTTGTATAACAACTAACCTCATCCTCCTCCATTATGTTAATTTGTAATAAATATTATTTAACTTTAATATTTAATTTACTTTTTTTAAACACATTCAATTTGTAATGAATATTATTTAATTTTTTTATGTTTAATAAAAAATTTATTTGCATAATTTTTTTACTATTAATTTATATAATTTTTTATTCTGTATTTTAAATAATTTTTTTTAAAATATATTTAAAAATAATCACAGAGGGTTTTACCGACAGACTGTATCCATCGGCATTTGACATCTTAGTAATGAATTTACATATGGAATTAATCCGTCGATATTTCACAGTAACTTGGTGTAAATTTCACAATTACTGACGACCTGCCGACAGAAATAATCTGTCAGTATTTCACACACTCACCGACAGAATACATTCAATAGTATATTTCAAGCAGGAATTTTTTCGGCACACAATTTCCGTCTATAAAACCATCAACAATTGTTTTTCTTTTTTTACCGACTGATGTAGCAATAAAATAAAATATTACCAATAAAAGGAAAGCCGATAGAATATTTTCATTGGTAATGTCATCGATAAAAAAATTACCGATGAACTATGAATTACAGAACCGATGGAATAGTTTTGTCCATAAAACTATAAAGGAATAGTTTTGTCCATAAAACTATAAAATCTTGTAGCGTCTACTTGTATATTTAAAAAAAATGTTGATTTTTTTATAGATTAATGAACTTTTATATTATACTTATTGGCTCAAATTTTATATTATAATTACTCGTATACATTTAACTCACCGTAATTTTCATAGACATAAAAACTTTTATTTATGACTCCAAGTGAGAATTAATTAACTTTTTAATAAGCCATAGGCAATGCATTCAAAGTCTAGGGAATTTACGTGCTAGACCAAATGATGGGCTTAAATGTAGATCATTTGGCAACTTAATTGTATTATTTATCGGGCCATAGTAACCTAAAATCTGGCTTATCCATTTAAAACATGATGTTAATTTAGAGCTGGCTTAACCATCCTACCGAAGATCCAATTAAAATATTGAACAGACCAGTCCATTGGACATAATGGCCCCAGAGCTCAAGACCACTACAAATTTTAATTATTTGTACGAGTTACATCTTTTTTTCTTAATACCATACAAGTTACCTGTTCATATTTAATTTAGAGTATTCAAGAATATCCTTATTTTTTTAATATATTTCGTTTTCGTTTCTTTAGATTGAAAAAAGAGTTCCTCAGTTTTTTTCTCTTTGTTACTAAATCAAGTTAGATTTGTGTTTTAATTTATAAACAAACAAAAAATATCAGATCATAACTCATAGGCACTAATCGGTCTCAAAACATATCTACACTAGAAATTTCAAACCATGCCTTCAAATAAAATTCAAAACTCATTCTACCAACCGATCTATGAACCAAATGTCTAAAATTTCCATAAAAAATCAACAGAACCTAGAAAAAAAATTATTATTATTCCAACTTGAAAATTCTAAATAAATGTGTATTTCTATCTTGAAATAAATGTAGTATTGATCAAGTAGAATGTGACCTAACACTTTCAGAGAATTAACAAATACAAATAGAGATATCAATGGAAACAATTATGTTAGTAATTTGCAGTGAAATGTATCAACATAATATTGTCTCACTATATCCCTTGATATAAATCTATATAAAAAAAATTATTTGTGTTTCCTAAGGGAATTATAGTCGAAAAAAAAAAGAGAAATGAAAAGAAAATGTTTATCATTTTACAAATGGTATTATCGATTAAATAAACTTGTTACTAATATATATCGACAATATTTAAATTATGATTTAGCGAGCAATCCCCCCTCCCCTCCCCTCCCATTTCTTCTTCGTCCTCTATTTTTCTCTATAAATAAT